TACCAAAGAACAAGGCCTTTAAGAACTGCATATAAATGTACAATTTCTGCTTTCCATGAAGCACAACACACAACTGCACAGAACTACTGCTCTCCCCACTGCAGACATGAAAAATGACTGCATATACTCCACACATGAAAAATAAACTTGTTCCCTATTTCCAGGAATAATTAAGAAAATTTAAACCAAGTAAGAAAAAATAGAATTCTATTTATTCCATTTGCTCCTTGGTCTCAGAAAAGTTAAAACAGGTGTCCATACAGACACAGCCTTTCTCTTCCATGAGTAAGTCTGCTACAGCCATGCAATTCAGAACTGCATTTCATGCCCACTCCACCACATTCATCCAAGTCAATCCAAACCTGAGCCTCCAGAGAAGGAAGAGGAATCCAACTTTTGGAGAAAATGACAGTTAATGAAGTCCACACCTTGCAAGGTTGATAAGAGAAGTATCTTCAATGCTGTCTGAGGTCTGAAGAGATGGGTGCTCCCTGGTTTAGAAGGTGTCGGGAGGCCGAGTTCCAGTGCTGCTGGGGCAGGACCCTGCCTGCCAGGCCAGGTGTGTACCAGCCCGTCACGGGAAGGCAGAACAGCTGGAACTGCTTGCACCAAAAAACAGTTTAAAAGTCATCTAGCTTGAGTCCCTAGAGTAATTCACTTCAGCAAAAATGAGACTAAGAGAAAGATTCAGAGATGAGGCACAGGACTTGGGGAAGAAGCAAGTGCCTAACAACAGTCATCAGCGAGTGGGGAAGCCTCCTCTATGAGCACCCCCACGCCCCCCTCTGAAGCCACCCCTCTCGCCCCGGAAGTTAGTTCTGTTCCTCTCTCTGCCCCTTTCTCCTCGGCCTGCTGAAGTCCCTCCTCTTCCTCCTCCCCTTGGAGCACCACCTCCCCGGTCAGACTTGGACTTGGGCGGTGGTGACTTGGGCCGAAGTCTCTCAATCTCCTCAGTACAGCCAGTCAGATGGGAGTTTGGAGCTGTGAAGTACGAAGAATATGTTTCTGCATTGAAATTGCTGTTTGTGAGGGTGGGTCCTACAGTCAGCCAGCCTGGGGAACAAAGCCAGAGTCAGCAGAAGTAAGAACAAGCTTCACGCTTCAAGGCCAGTTTTGCCTTTTCCCAGGAAATAAACACTCAAGTGATGGGGACAATGATTTACACGTCACAAGTACTGAACAGAAGGAAAAGGTCACTTTTAGGAAAGGCAGAGTTGTTGAAAAGTTAAGATTTTAGTCTAAGGGCTTCATTTTCTTTTATTTTTTTAATTACATTCACCCTGTGGTTTCACAGAGCTCCTTCCCTGTCATTCCTACTTGTTCTTATACCACAACAATGTTTTCCAGCCCCTCTGGGACCAAACTAAATCAGATCAGTAAATTAATCTCATTTAAAAATAATGTCAACCTCCTCCTCTTTTTAAAAGGCATTTAAACTTGAATTAGGTAATTTTGTCTCCAGAAACCAATTCTGACAGTGCAGCCAAGAGCACAGCATGCTGGAAGCACACATTTGAAAACAAAATAAAGTAACAGCCCATGATACAAAAATAGAGCTTAAAGAGTAAATTAACCTGTTTATGCACATTGTCATTGACAACTGATAGAAAAGCCTCAAATGTGTCAAAATAGATTTTTTTTCTTCTAGTCTGTATTCTCCTGCACTTCATCACTTAAAAATGATAAAGTGAAAGGCCTGATCATTGAAACAAAAAGCACTTCACCAGGCACTTAGCTCACAGGGATTTAAAATCAGTTTAGAGAAGTCAAACTTCTAAGAAGCGTAAACATGTGAACAAGCAAAAGTATTGGTTAACAAAAAACTTTCTTCTGAAAAAATTGATAGAACTGGTAGTTGTCACAGACTTTCCAAACAACACTGGTTTGTGACCAACAGATCTTCACATAAACCAAAAATGTATCTCCTTGAGAATTATGCATTAGGATTAATTGCTGTCTCAGCTTTCATCATAACCCATCTTGTGGCCTCAGATGATTTAACAAAGTTAAACAGTTAAATTTTTCTTCACTTTAACACCAGACATAAACATGACAGTTACCTGGTCGAATCGTACTGTCCCTTCCAAAAAGATGAAGACGTCGTCGTCCAAGGCAGAAATGCTCAATGATGTGAAAGATCTCTACAGGTTTTTCTATGTTGCCAATTTCAGGTTCTTCTGTGATGATGAGGTCAATGTCAACGTTAGCATGGATGAAGTCACCATCTGTACTGCGACGCACAGTCCCCTTAATGCCCATGAGGCAGTGCTCCTGTGCACACACAACACAGCAGAGGAGCTGTCAGGTGCTGCACATCCTGCTGCGGCACAGACATCCCTGCTCTGAGCACAACGGAGAGAAAAGGAAATTCGGGGCAGAGCAGATCCTACTCTTATACAGAGAAAACTCTGAAGCACCAACTAGAAAAGAGCAAGCTGGAGCTACCAAAAAAGCCTTTTGAAAACAAAGCAGAGAGCAGTTTAAGCTATCTGGCTTGATGAACTACACTACCAAGTGGTACAACTCAGAGGATGAGATAAGATACTTGAACTTCTTCAGTTACACAAAAGTTAAAGCTTCAAGTTGGAAAGGCTGAGGAATCACCACAAGAGAAGAGAGCAGATGGCAAGAGTAAGGGAATGGTTACTATTCCAATTAATTCTTATATCAGCATTCTGATCCTATCTTTATCCATATGAATAATTTTCAAAGTTCTTAGTCATAAAATAGTTGGTGAAAATAAAACGTACTTTTTCATATTGCACTTGTTACAAAAGTAGCCTTAATGCTCAGATTTATTTCTTAGAACCTGTAACTGTATCAAGAAAGTAAAAACACCATCTGTCAATGCACTTGAAGTCAACTCCAACAGCATTAAAAATGTTCTTTAGCTGAAATATGCATTGTTTTCCTTTCCTCTAAGAGATTATTGATCACTAAGTAACTAGTATGCAGAACCTATAAATGAGGAATCACAGGAATTAGCACAGGATGAAAAGAGAGTTCTACATATTAAATTTGAAGCTCTGTTTCTGGGAATATTAAACTCATATGAGTGATTTTCCCCAGTATCATAGAACACTGATTCACTAAGTGCCACCAGATGGCTCTAAAAAAATTGCAGACAAAACTATGTAATGATTTCCAGATTTTTGGCAAGAGTTTTAAGAGTTAGTGACTAAATTTGAAGAGCAGACTAGGTGGCCTATCAAATCTATGCAGCTGGACAACTGCACTCAAGCTACATGGCTTTCAAACCTTAAATTTAAGTGGCAGAATTCTTCTAAGCAAATTACCCATCCAGCAAAGCCTTGTAAATCTAGTTGTTAGAGGAACTATCACAAATATTTCTTCTAACACTTGGAATGTCATTCATTAGTACCTTAGGTTCTACAGCAAGTGGCACAGCATGAAGCATCCATCTATAGAGGACACTAAGCTAACCATAACAGGATAGCATTTCCTGCTATACTCACTCGTAAACAAATCTTGCACAACAGACTATTTATTTAGTCAGAATAGCTAGCTTCATTTTCAATGTTTAGTATAAATGGTGACCTCAACTCCAACCCTTGCTCAATAAACAAAGAAATTCTCTAATGCCAGACACTATTCTTCTCTGCTAAACAGTCTGCCCAAAATCCTCCTGTGTTAGTTTTAACTTCTCATCACAAGTGAGTTGCGCATATTTGCGCAACTATATGCAATAAACATACACTATTTATAGTTATAAATATTTATAACTAATACAACACACTTTCAAACAAACTTCAGATTACTGTAAATTCAAGTGAAAGAAAAATTCCAGATACATTAAAAGAAAATTTATACTCCTAAAAAATGGTAAATCTGATACAGAGTTGAGAATGTTTCATGCTAACAAATGATTAATGGATGTGGAATCAGCCCTGAGGTTACTGACACTTGAAATTATTGTCGTCCAACTCATTGTGTTCAGTAAAACTGCCAGTTTCACCCACATATACCCAAAACAATTATTAATCCTACCTACATTTGTCTAAGATATTGAATAAGTTACATTTCAGTCTCTTAAATCAGAATACCTTTTTTCTCTGCATGTTCTTCAACACACGTCCTCTATAACACATCTCTAAGACACTGTTTCATTTAAACCAAGCTGAGCAGTTCTGTCACTTGTACATCACAGTCATCCTCAGGAAGCCAGGAGATGCTGACTGAGCCACAGTCCCCAACAGCCTTCTGCCTGGTTCAAGCTCTGGGCACATGGCTGCATGTGTGTTTTTAGAACCATTATCCAGTCTTCCAGTTTTTCTTTTATTACTACATTCATTTATAATTTAGTTTTAAAGACTACTTCTGACATAAAATTTAGTAAAATTCTACTGCTAATTTTACTTCCATTCAACAGGTGTTCCTCCACCAGCAAGTTTTCTGCTCTAATCTGGAAAGCAGCTTGCATTCCACACAGAAGGTATTGCTAATAGACTGATTATTTACCAAAACAACCCAGAAGTCAAAACCACTGGGGGATACAGTAACATTTTCTATTCAGTTTCTACCTTCCTTTTAGGATATCATTCTTGTTCCATCATCTATGAACCCTCCTCACCTACCTGCATTCCAACAAGGCTCAAATGAGTATCATATTTAGAGGAATATAGCAGAAAGTCACCAAGTGGTGTTAAATATAAGTGAAACTTTACCTCATACTGACTAAAATCAAGAAGGGGACAGAACTCCATCAGTCATCCTGTGAATACATTTATTTCCAAATATCATACTTTGTAGAATGGAACTGCGATGTCCTCATGTCTGCTTTCCTGAAAGTGTGTCACCTACTGCTATGGAGCACCATGTGTTTCATTAGCATGAAGAGACAGGATGGGAACAGAGGAGAAATTGAGCCAAACCTTTACCTTGGTTCTTTGGAACACAGCCTTAGGGTCTAGAGTCTTGGTCTTTCCAGGATTGTTCTTATTCGTTTTAATCCAACAAATGTCCTCACATCTTCTGTAACCCCATTTGCGTAGACACTAAGTATTATAGACAGATAAAACAGGTTATACTACACCAAAAAATGGAGTAACCTAAACTGAATGCTCATATAGGTGCTTGATGCTTCCTAAAGCATAGCTGGAAGATAAATTTATTACAGTTGAATGCAACATTGAGTTTGCTGGCATGACTGTACTATGTTTTGTGAAGCTCCCCCCCCTTGCAAACAAAAAAAGCAGCTCACATGACATTGACTTGTCTACAGCTCACTTTTTTATTTTTTAGTATCTAACTCCAGCACAGACTCCCCAGGAACTCCGCACTCATTTTTACCTACTGACACTTGAATTTCATCAAAATCAGCCTGAGCAACATAGTGATCAGCTGCCTTCACCCTGTCTCCACTAATACCTGCACTCTGGCATTTTTCACATCCATGTAAAATTCTATAAACATGAAGAAAAATAGCCACAAATATTTGCTACCATTTCGTGGTTTTTCCTATATCTAAAAAGAAAAAAAAACAAACCACAAACAAACAAACCAACAAACATGAACAAAAAAACACACAAAAAAAAAAACACCACCCCCAAAATCTGACATAACTTATTAATCCTTAACTGCTGTAAGCATTCTCTTGGAAAGGGAGTAAACTGGGCATTAAGGACTCAAGCTCATTAGGTTATTGCTGTGTTCAAAAACTGTCCAGCTTCTACTAATATGTCCATGACCAAAATCAATCTATCCAAAATAACTACTTCAACCAACCTCAGAACAAAAAGCAGATAAAGCAAACGAATTAGTAACCACACATTGTCTTATAATAAACACTACATTGTTTCAATAGAAAGCATTGCTTAAACTAAGCAATGGATGTTTCAGCAAAGCAAGAGTCGACTGGAAATTCTAATTTCACCTTCCCAAAGCACAAGCAGCATTATTCTGGCATACAGAAAGATTACTGTAAAACTCCAAGATCTGATAGGGAAATACAAGTTTATAGAGCTCATGATGAGTATTTTCAGAGTTTTCTGAGAATAAGCAGTGCTATGTACATAATTATATCTCACTTTCTGTGAGATACACATTAGCACCTTTATACTAGCATGAATATTTGTAGTAGAAAACTATTAAGACCTCAGTTAAAAAAAAAAAGTTGTAAATGCTCTCAACATGGCAACCTACTCCTATGGCAAAATGCATACATCAAAACCAAGACAGCAGTACAGCTTTCTAGACCCTACAGAATTATGCTTCCTCACATAGTCACAGCAACTGACTGGGAAAATAACAGTATCTAAACAGTTAATGTCAGATACAATTAATTTTTCTTTAATCAACTTAAAATCTCCTCTACCACAGTAACAAAACATTTCTCAGCAGTTACAGTTGAGAATACAGAAAAAGTCAATGATAAAAATAAACTCTTAAGCCTGTCCCAGATAAACTCAATTAAAATATCATCTTACCACTCGGCCAAGATCCAGACCCTCTCCTGAACCGCACCACAGAAACACAAATGACCTTGGAGCAGCAATTTCTTCAATTTCCAATTTCATAATCTAGTAATTATAACAGTGATAAAAGTGTTCAAGTTAAATATAAATAACCAATTATACCAAGCAGAATAATAAATAAGTGATGGAAGTATTATCACAGAAACCATGATGAAGCGCTTTTATTAAAGATGTTAGTCTGTATAGCATTCACAGCCATCCTCTTAAAACTGTTCTTCAGAAAGTATATTGTAAAAGTTATCAGTACCAAAGTGCAAGTTTTCAACATAGCTGATGACGACTTTGGAATTTCTGTTAAAATGAATAATTATCTGTACAGAAAATACAACCACATGATTTCTCCTCTCACTCCCAAAATTCTGCTTCATTTTATCATTCCATTGGTAGCAAAAAGATTTAGTAAGGGAGCGATAGTGCTGCATTTCAGCCCTGGAGCTACTTATGTGATGCCTGTGAAGACACACTGTTAAAAAAACAGCTTATTTCCTATTACTATATAGGAAAGACATTCACTCCCATTTTTACTTTTAGGGAAAAAAAACAGCAAGAATTTATCAGAACAGTGGTTCAACAAAGACAAACAAGTGACATTCAGGATGAAATAACTTCAGATGCAAAGCATCTGTTACTCATTACAAGTTGAAAGGATTCTTGTGTAACTTGCTAACACATCAAATCAAGCTTCATTCATTGTGAAGAAAACATAGTAGAAACCATCCTAAGAGGATGTAACTCCCAACTCAGAGGACGATGACTCCTGCCTCCAACACTTCCGATTTTAGTGTTAGGACAGAATGTGATTTTTTTTGCTGGGTAATACTGCCTGGCACCATTTTTGCCTGATTTAACAGAATGGCTGACAAAGAAGCTATCTATTCCTTAACACATAGTTATCAAGTCTCTTACCACTGGCATGGATGTCTGCGTTTTCAAATTTGTACCTTAAAGGTGGATTGAATTTTATTTTGTTCTCATGATCCTTTAGTTTGACTGATTCACTTCTGAAGTAATGCATGTGCAGGTTTCAGCCCAAGGACAAACTAAATCCAGTTTAAAGTAACACCATCATCTCCTTCCCTCAAACTGCATAAAACACCAATAAGAAAATCACAGCAACAACTGCTTCAATCTACCAGTTCACTTATGACAAATGCGTTGCTAATGCAGACACAGTCCTGCATACCTTTCAAATCGGGTCTCTAAATAGTAGGTATTTATTAGTTGCATACTCCCATCTAAATGTCTGAACCTAAAAATTCCTGACATGGTTATGCAAACATTTTATCATCAGCTGTTCCTCTCTACTACAGATTGTCTGTTTTGCCGTAAGGGTGGAGACATTTAGTGGCTTTTTTTGTGAGTTTGTTGGTTTTTTTAATGAGTACAGTGTAGACACACAGGGTAGAGCCAATCTATCGTTATTTAACATTAGCATTACAAGTTTTTTACTGAATAACCAACTGAAGAAATTCTCCAGGTCAACCTTAAGGACAGGACAACCTGGCAGCAGCTTTGTCTTCAAGTTGTTATGCTTTATGACATCCAGCACTTCATAGCCTCCAGCCCTCACCTTGCTTTACCAGAACCGACTTTATTGAACAGCGAAGGACACAAAATGGAGTCGCTTATCAAGACATCTTGAGTGTGTCCTTCTTTACAAGCATCTACATGCATTATTACAGGAAGAACTTTAAAATCTTTTCTCTAACTCAATCTTCTAAAGGTTTACAGGAGAACAGAACAGGAGCACCTATAGTGATCTCAAAAGATAACATCGTGCACATTAAGATTTCTCCTTGTTTCCAAAAAGAGGTCTGAAATCAACATGGCTCCAAAGAAACCCTTCTGATGTGACATAACAGTAACGGAATGCATAAATTAAAAAAACACCACAAGTAAGGTCTATTTTGGTAGGCTTCTCGGGATTACAATTAATTTGATTGTTAAAATTTCCTATACAACCAGTAATTTGGAGAAACGAGGCTTGTCAGTGAAGCATACTCATCTACTCTTCAATAGGGTATTAAAAAGTATACCTTAAAATATCTTGCAGAATTTCAAGAGACAAGGAAACCTTTACAACAGATATTCTGAAGTTCAACAGCAAAACCCAAACAGAAAACTCATGGTAGAAAACCCACACTTAACCAAGCTGATGGAGAAAAAACGGTGTATTTAATTCATTAAACTCCTCCAAAGCCAAAAAGTCTTTTAACATAAATAGTCTAGGCATTCATACAATATAAAACTTAATTTCTGTTAGAATCTAGACTTTAAATAATAAAACAGAAAAATACATCTTATTTTTTCCTTAAAGCATATGTCAAAGATTTTTATATGAAATTAAACCCTCAAACTATTTTCTTAAATACATGTATGAAATCCTTCTCACAGCAAGAAAATTACTTACATCATCCCAGGTCCAGCATTTTTCATTGGCAGTAATGCCAGTCTCTCGGTAGTATTCTTCCAGTGGTGGTTCCAGGAGAATCACATCAAATTTGGACTTCAGTTCCCTAATATCAAAAGCTTCCAAGTCTGCTTGTAAATACCTGTTTAAACAAAAGACGATAGATTACTTGCACTAGTTACAACAGCGATTTGAAAACTATACCCCTCCACAGCATTTGTGTGTAGCCAGTTAAGAGTAGGGTCTCCTGTAGTCCATACAGCTCAAATGCACTAAATCCAGAGGAGATGTGTTCCCACTTAACCTAGGCTGGATGCTGTTGCATTAAATATTTTTAAAAGTAATCTCTCAATACAGTTGTTAGGATTCTAATTCAACAAGCAGAAAAACATATGCCCACACAGACTGTACAACAATATCTAGTACAGAATTACTGAACTTTCTCTACATCCATGGACTATATAGGAGAAAATATCCACATTTAAGAAGCAAACAGTCACTGCCTGCCTAACAGACTTAATTTTGCTTCACTTTGGGAAAGTGGCATTTTTTTAGAATTGCCATTCAGAAGATACTGAATACTCGAAATGTGGCTAGTTTTCATATAGCAGAAATGTATTTCTCTATCCCTATAACAAAAGCATAATTCCCTCAAATACTGACTTTATTAAATACATGCTCAATTATGCTCTTATCGCTGGCCTCCACACCTGCCTGGCAGACAATGCTGCATCACCGTCAAAAAAAAAAATCACACTGCCCCCCCCCTTGAAACCTCTAACCTTACAAAAGCTGCTTAGCAGACCACCACCTCCCCCTTCCTAAGAAACTGTCTGGAAAAGATTATTATTCCGTAAGTGCATTTGGTGTTACCAGAAGGCAACATTTGATTACTGTTTTTCTCCTTTTGTGCTTCAAGGCTAAGAATGTTGAAACATATCTAACATTCAAATAGCAAGATGAGTTTTGCAGTTTGTATCACATTGTTCAGAAAACTATTTCAAAGGGGGTTTTTATGTGACTATTATGAAAAAAATGCTATTTTACTTGGTAGAGATTAGGACTACAGTACATTAAAGGCATTAGGTTCACAATCACATTCAAATTCCTGGGAATAACATGCTGCATGCTTATACTGTGTCTAATATTCAGCAAAAACTCAGACGTAATCAAAGTTGATAGGACAAATCACTTCCAGCTAGCCTAAACTGGTTTTTTTTTTGTTCTTAAACTACAAATTAACATGGATGCTAAGATAACAGCTGAACGTTATACAAAAAAACTGCTACAAGAACAACTACGGTTATATTAAGAGGCCAATTTTTAAAGTTTTTCTTGTTATTGTAAACTGCATGGTATCATGAAATTCACCATCATATGCTCCTTTAGTTCACAAATTAAAGCCTGCAGCTCAATCAGTTGACAGTTCTGTCTTAAAAACCAAACCTTAAGATATTATAATCAGATACTTGAAAGAAAATCTGCTTTCTATACTATATTAAACATCTTGATTAAACTAACAAAAAACCCCTGATTTTATCTTCTGAAGTTTCAGTTTATTACTCTGTGTATACAAACAGAAATAGAAAATGCAAATTCTGAGCAGGTGCTAAAGATAGAGATTTGCAAAGCAGACAGCTAACTTCAAACAAGTCTGGAGAAGAAAGGCATTTTCCACGAGAACACTTACATGGGAGGAGTGTTAGATTTAGATATCAGCTCATCCTTCAATCTGATGAGCTCTCTAAGTTTTGGATATTCTTCAAACCTATCTGCTAAGCCTAAGAAGAAGAAAACATGAAGTTAACAACTATTTAGAGAGTAAATCTGTATCAGTTAAGCATTGTCCAGTATCCTGAATAGGTCCAAATGTTAATACTTAGCATAATTTGATTTTTTTGTTTGAACAAACCAAATCCTTCAAAGTAGTTTTTTGTTCAGTACTTCATAAGAGCCACCTGCCTTCACCCAGTTAAAGATGGTTCTTACTGAATGCAATGTCTATGCTCTTACCTTTTGTAGAGCACTACAGCCATCAGGAGTTCATAACTCCTTGTAAGAAGGAAACAACCTTTCATTTAAATTAAAAGTTCCAGAATTATGAGAGAAAGTTATTTTGTTACCCCTCCCATCCATAAGTTTCTATTAAGATCTAAGTAACATTCATTTACACAACACTCATTGAAAACTATTTTTAAAGCAACAACTGGAGTCTGGCCGGTTTTTTTAGGCAACCCTTATATTGACACCTTGTTCTCTGTGGTAAGTCATGAAGATTTGAGCAAATGTGTATATATTTATTGGGTTCCTATACTTAGCTTTATGATGTTAAATTTTCAAACCTTCCATATGTACAGAATAAAAAGGTGAGAACCCTAATTAGGTTTTCTGCAGCAAGTTATTTAAAAAAGAAAACAGGCAAGCAAATTTTTTCAGTATATCACATTCCCCCATCAAAAAAGTAAGTAGAGACAGTGTGGGTTTATTACTGCAAGCAGTAGGCTCAGCACAAACCAGAAAGGTACCATTTCTGCCTC